TGCTGCGTGGGACGCCCACTGCTTCTTGTTGCGAAAATTGCCCAATGCTGACTTCTCCCTTCTCCTTTGTTCTAAAATGCGAGAACCCCCTTTGGGTTTCTTTGGTTTACAAAAAGAAGTACTGATGCAAGTCTTTGGTACAAGTGCAGTGGGGTCACATGGACTTAGGAAAAGTGAGGGTCACATTGTGAGGCGATATCAACATGGCCTTTATGACTAACCTAGGTTGTTTGGGTGTTTTGTGGGTGGAGGGAGGGGCGGACTTTGAACCTAGAGGTGGTTACTTAGCCCACCCTTCTACTACAGGTGAAGAAACTTAAGCCTGAGGAACCAAGTAATTTGTCTGTGTTCCACGAAACAAGAGAGAGACAGCTCGATATGTTCTGGCTGAACTGTATGGGTTTCCTGGCTCTAATACCCCAATCAATTTGTCGAAAGTCTCTCTGGTAGCTAGGTAGGAAACCTTGGTCATCATTTCAGAGAATGTACATTGGTGTGCTGGGAACCACCCAGAATCATCCTGTGTCCTGTGTCATAAGCTTTGATAGACCTTTTGTGACAAAAAGACCTCTAAATATTACAGTTGTGTTTGGGAACGTTAATCGTTTTCATTTCTTTATCTCCCCTAACACATGAGCCCTGGTAGCACAACAGGTTAAGTGTTGGGCTGCCAGCCAGAGTTGGCGATTTAAATCCACCCACTGCCCCACAGAGGATCAGGAGACTGTCCCCTTAAAGATCTGTTGTCTCGCACACCCTGGGGAGGTCTCTACTCTGTCCTAAAAGCAGGGCTATGAGTTGGAACGGATTCCACGACACATTTGAATTTAAATTTTTTTTAAAACTCTACCAAACCAAATGCACCACCGCCAAGTCAATACTGAATTATATCAACACCCTGTGCCTTTCTGAGACTGGAACTGTTCACGAGAGTAGAAAGCCAAGTCTTTCTCCCTCAGAGCTGCTGGTGGGTTCGAACTGCCTACTATGAGAATTGCAACAACCCAATTCATGACCACTATTCCACATAATGTATTTATACTGTGGTCGTATAAAATACATTTTTAAAAGCTTATATATGTACTTATTTGTTGTGAGTTAAAAATTCACACCTAGATCTGTGAGTCTGTCTTGTTGGCATATTTTTAGCATCCATTCTTTCAACTGAAAATGTTTTAGTGTATGTACTGTGCCAGGCATGGGAGATGAAACACTATACAAGACAAGTACCGTTCCTGCCTTCACAGAGTTTATTGTTCAAGGGAGTCTTGGTGGCATAATGGTTAAATGCGCAACTGCTACCATAATGCATCACCCCCTCTGCAGGAGAGAAGATCTAGCTGTTTGCTCCCATGAGGACTACAGCCTAGGAAACCCCATGAGCAGTTCTATTCTGTCGTAAAGGGTCACCACAAGTTGTGTGCCATTCAAGGGCACACAGTGACACCATGGTGCAGTGGAGTCTGCAGATAGCTAAGCAAGCAACTACAAAACAGTGTGCTAGGTAAGTGCTGTGGTTTAGGCAGTGGAAGAGAAAACGTTTGGGCGGTGGGGGTTGGGTAGAAGGGTCAGATGGAGAATAAGCACACAATACATATAGTAATGACCTAACCCAAACTTAATGGGTCAGGAAGTGGTTCCAGAAGGCAGTGATGTCTAGACTGACCATGAAGGGATGTGTACATCACAGCTAGGCAGGGAGAAAGGTAAATGGCCCTTCAAAAGAGTGTGTCCTGTGAAGTGAGACGAGTATCTTTTTGTAGAATCTTTAACCATATTCTAATTAAACTCTTCATTCAGTAAAATTGCTCCTTTTAGCTGTGTCTCACAAACTGAAAGATTTGGCTCTGAGCATGTAAGATAAGATTAATTTTTGTATATCTAGTAGCATTCATCATGTTTGGTTTATGGCCATCTTCATGTGAATTGCTAATGATGGAAACATTTGCACAGTATTGAATATGATAAAAAAGAACTTGGTATATTTTAATGTGTTCTTTGTCAGTGGCTTGATGTTGTTGCTGTTTTGTTGTACATTGTTGCTTGGTTTTGCTCTGTCTTGTTTTTGTGCATGTT